GGTCATGCTGTAGAGCCTTTGTTAGGGATCTGGCCTTGAAGCTGCTGAGACTCCAGAGGGGTGAAGGTGCTGAGGAAGCACACACTTCTTTCTGGGTCTCCATATCTGGAGCCAGAATAAAGCCTAAGGCACGAGCGCCACCATCTGGCTTTGGCCAGAATTACAGTGTCCAAAGGACAGTGGTGAGGCTACTCTCTGTGTGTGGGGGGGCAAACCCAGATCTTAACTAGATTTGTCCTGTCTGGATCCATTCAACTCAGCCAGACCGGAGTCCAAACAGTCTCTTCCCCCAGATGCCCCCAGTTTTAGGACCCTATCTGACCTATAGAATGAGTCCTTACACTCCAGAGGCCCATAGTTTCACAACTGAGCATGCCTCAAAATCACCTAAGAGGCTTCTTGAAACCGATTGCTTAGTCTCTGACCTCAGAGTTTCTAGAGATTCAGTAGATTTTAGAAAGGACCTAAGACTTTGAACTTGTGACAGTTTCCATGTGAGACTGATGCTCTTGATCCACAGACCATGCTTAGAGAAACCTTGCCCTAGAATTTCTTTCCATTCAGCCCCTTGCAACATGTTGTTACTATTATTATTATGACAGAAAAGGGAATGTGTATAAGTGGACATAAGTATTAGGCATTTGGTCAGTCAGTTGTGGCAACTATTCCATCACAAGTAAATCATGAGCCCATCTTGTGCTAGCTTGCCATCTTTGTTTTAAAAAGTTGTTATATAGCATAGAATCAGAACCGACCCATAGCTGATCCTCCAGCAGGTTTTAGCTGGAAATTAATCAGTCACACAGGAGGAAATTGCTCATCTTTCTTCAGCATAGCAGCTGGTGGATTCGAACTACATGCCTTCAGGCGAGGGGATGTAATGGTGAATGACCTGGGATGGGTTTGAACTCTGTCTCAGGCAGACATACAGGCAGGTATGGCATATGAACACTCCACCCAGAGGCCTGCAAACACCCAGCCAGCCCCACTGGCATCCACTTGGTTCTGACTTATGACAACCCTGTGTGGTACTGAGTCACTGCTCTGGAGGGCTCTCTTGTCTGTCATCTTCACAGAGGCAGATCTCCAGGGTGCCCACTGAGTGGGTTCAAAACAGCCAACCTTTAAACTAGTATTCGAGAGAAGACTATTTGTGCTATCTGTGGACCCGGGGATCTAAAGGGCAGCTCTACAAAAGGTCCAAAACAGAACCTGATTTTCATACACCACCTGCTCCCTCTCAAGTGTTCTCCATTCAGCAAATACAGTCCCACCATCCAAACCAGCTGCAAAAGCTAAGTAGGACTCATCCTTGATTCCTGTCTCCCACGTCCAATCCTACACGGCCTATCAGCTTCACCTCTATTACTCATCTTGGCTCAGTCTTTATCATCTCTTCCTGTTCAATAGTCTTCCTGCTTCCACCCTTGCCTCTGGCCCACCCTCTGCACAGGAGCCAAAACAGTCTTTTTTAAAGACAGATCACAACACTTCTCTGCTTACTCCTAACAATATTTCCTATTGTATGTTAGAAAAATCCCAAAATCATGCGGGGCTTTAGGACCTTATGAACTTGGCCCCACTTACCTACCTAACCTCATCTCTGACCACATTCCCTTTGATCCGCACCCCTGCTTATTCCTGTCATGCCCTCCATCTGGTACACTCCTCCCTGGATCTCCCCTGGATGGTGGTTATGCATGCTTCACACTTTCCAACCTGGTCATTCTATCTAAATGTTGCCTCCCACTACCAGCCATTCTCTATTTTTGCTTGCTTATTTCCTTCATAGCACATGTGATTCTTCTGAATTATCTTGTTCATTCATCCATTTGTTTCCTGTCACCACTCACCAGGTTGTAATTGTCTCTACCTAGAAGTAGAGACCATGCTTGTCTTGTGTGTCTCTGTGCCCCAATACTTAGGGCTATACCTACACATATTTCTACATATATTTGCTGAATAAGTAGAATTATATAGGATGTCATGTAAGGCCCTCTAAATGTGCTATCAAGGATAGCTTTCCAGAGGAAGGAAATCTAAACTGATACTAAAGGGTCTACAGGAGTTGGGCAGGAGGAGAAAGACCTTCCTTCCTCCCTCCATGCCTAAACAAAACAAAACACCCAATGCATAGAATTTTCTTGAAAACTGAATAGTCCATTTTGGCTGGAGCAGAAAGTTTAGTGGAGAAAAGGGGAAGCAGAGGAGTTGGGAAAACTACAGGCAGGCACCTTGCCTTTGATAGGTTTGCACTCTATGCTGAGGGTTTTAATTTCGGCATTTAGAAAGGGATGTTGAGTTCAGAGTGGCTTTCAGGGAGAAAGCCTGATGGTGGGGAAGCCTGGATGTGGTACAATCCCAGTGGCTCAATCCCTGATGCCCTGAGTCAGGCAAGTAGTAGTACAAAGAAGTAGCCAAGTTCAGGGGCTGTTGAGGAAGCAGTCCTGCCAGGGCAAGGTAATGGTAAGGATGGATAGGAAAAAGAGGGAATTGTCATCAGTGATGCCTAAATCTTCAGCATGAGAGACTGCAAAGGTAGAGGTACCATTCCTGAGGGTAGAAAGTTTGGGAGAAATATGGGGTCTCTGTGACAGGTGGAGTTGGATCTAGCTGAGTTGGGACATATGTCAGGTTATCAAAAAGAGGGAGTGGCCCATGTGGTCAGCCTCTGTTGAGTGAGCCCTCCAGGGTGAAGAGGAAGTATCCATTTTCCATTGCAGGGGATTGGGAGCAGGAAGAGTGGCAGGATTCTGGTCTTGGCAGGAACAGTTTGTTCAGCATAGCCTTTGTGTATAACATGCAGTGAATGGAGTTGAGGCAGTGAGAGAGGGCACAAAGCACAGATTTTCTTCTCTCTTGTGAGAGGTTTGGCTTGAAGAAAAGAATGATAGGGTCACAACTTGGCACGGATGTGACTTGGGGTTTCCCTACTTTAAGCTGGGGGAGATTTACATCTTTTGAAATACTGGGAGGTCAGTGGTCATTCTTGTGAGAGGAAAATGATGTCCCTTCCATTGTAACACGTGTTAAGAATGGAACCTGGAGCAGGGCATGGGTAGCTTGGAGGCTGGACATTTATGTTCCCAGGTGATGATATCTATTTTTTTCTCCAAGCAGTAGCAGAGAAATCCTCAAGGAGATAGGAGTGGAATTTGGCTTCAGAAGATGGGTAGCACTGGAACTGTCACTACAAGGGGACAGGGAGCATAAAGAGACAGGATAGTGGGCTAAGTGAATGCCAGTTGAGAGTTGAGATCATGAGTTTGATCCTCAACCTGCCCAAAAGCAAGATGGTTATAGGATTGGGGCTTTTCCAGGGGGATTGGTGGGAGAACCCTTGGATAAGGGAGTTGGTGGCAGCCATGTGGGCTGGGGAGAGAAGAAGATAAAAATGAAAGGAAGGGGCTGATGCATTGAGAGGAGGTAGAGGAAGACTCAAGGCCAGGGAAGAGTCTGGAAGCCTCCTTGATCAAGAGGGCGGATAGGGGTTCAAAGACATGAGAACTCAGGAGTGTGTCTGGGATGGATGAGATGTTAGAGAATCCTAATTCTGAGTCTGGGAGTACCTACCGGCCAGAAGCTACCAATGTAATGAGGTGATTCCCGAATCCACCCAGGATGTTTTCTTGGAGCTTTGGGCCCTTCTCACGGCAAGGTCACTGGCTGGGAAAAGACCCTACCTGGGCATCTGGGGGAGGCTTTGGAGCTCAGCTGGACATCAGTACTCCTAAGAGCTCAATGACTCAGGAGTTCAGTGTCCCTCAGAGCTGCCTCCTCACTAGATAAGTCCACTGCTGGTTCTCACCTCTCCCAGTACAAATAGTATGCTCAGGTCCAGTCTCCCTCCCTGATTCTGCAAGGAGGTTGAGTCAAAAGGGTGCCTGATGGAAAATGGGTCTTCCAGGTAGGGTGAGAGGGCGAGTGTGTGTGAGAGGGGTCTTCCCCTCCCCATGCTATCCCCTCTCTGCCTGGCCTCTCCCCTACCCCCAATTCCCACGGTGTGCCAGGCTCCAAATGCATTCATTCTCTTAAGGAGTCCTTGCAAGCCCTCTCAGGTATTGACAGCCTGATTTTACATTTCACCCTTGAGAGGGTCAGGGAAGTGACCTGTCTGAGGTGAGCAGCACATACCAGGCTAAGATCTAAGCTTTTGTGCTTCCATCTTCCACCCCTTTTCTGCTGGAGCCCCCTTCTCATGTAGCACTCCTTCAGGGGAGACTGTATCCTGTGATATTCCAGGGCTGGGTTGTTCAGCATCTGTATAAGGCTCGGCTGTTCAACTCTCGATCTAAAGTGCACTTTGTTCTCTTAAAGGATTGGAGCGGAGGAGATGGAGAAGGAGATGACGACGGGTGGGTGGATGAAATCAGCTGTGGACTTGGACAACAACAAGGCGCAGGTCAGGGAGGACCCCCCCCTCCCCGCTCCTCAGTCTGGTCCTCCACCCCTGCCCGCCCTCTCCAGTCTGCGAATTTCCCACCGGGTCCTCCAGGGGGCGTGGGGCGGGCTGGTGAGGAAAATGGGGGAAGGATTGGGAACCTTAGGAACCGGGAGAGACAGCGGCGCTGTAAATCATGCCCCGCGGAAACGGCTGGTTCCCGAGACACTCGAGGTGTCAGAGCATCTGAATAGAATCCAGCGAGGCTTGCGTGCCGGGTTGGAACTGTCAGCAGCGATTTGGGGTGGCGCGTTCTCACACGCTCATGCCGCTCTGATGCCGTCACCCCTTCCCTCCCCTTCCCTCCGCCCCACCCTGGGGTCCAATAGAGGGGTCTGCCCCTGCAGGGTACCTAGTGAGAGTCCCCAGACCCTGGCTGAGGAGAGCAAACTCCCTAATCCACTCAGTAGTGGGGGTACAGGAGACCACCCTATGCTTGTCAGCAGCGTGTTAGGCCCCCAGCACCCTCCCTCACCCGGCCCCGCCCCGCCTGCCGCCCCGCCTACCCCCATGGCCTGGGCCCGGAGAGCCCGGGGGCGCCTGCAGTCCCAGCCCCGCCATGCGTGCTATTCCTGCTCCGCTGCTGCTCCAGCTGCTGCTCCTGCTAGGGGTGCGGCTGACTGCTGGGGACCCCGTGGAACCGCCACTGCCCACCGTGGTCCTTGCCATCCTGGCCCGCAATGCCGAGCACTCCCTGCCTTACTACCTAGGCGCCCTGGAGCAGCTGGACTACCCCCGGGCTAGACTGGCCCTTTGGTGAGAGACCCAGGCATTGGCACCCACGGGACATCATCTGCTTGTTCCCCTCGACCTTCCCAGATAGCCTCATTCTCCCCCTGCCCAGATGTGCAGACAGGCCTCACCCAGGCAGACAGGCCTGCTCAGCTCCAGCTCAGCAGACTCTTATCCTCATGACTAGGAAAGATAGAGCTCTGAGGCCATAGAGCGACCCAGAAACACCCACCTTTTCTTCCAGTCTCCACCTCCACCTTTTGGGGCCTCCTTTGGTTGTAGGTCGGGCCCAGTCCCTCTTACCCAACCCCTAGAGCCCACATTCAGCCCCCTGTGAGATCTCTGGTTCTCTTCACTTGGAGCAGACTGGAACTGCTGGAGTCCCATGGGGCCTAAAGTGTCAGGATGAGCAGGACTGGGGCTTCCAGGGGAGAAGGTCTAGTGCTGTCGGCCCTGGGCTGCATGCTGTTCTACAGGGGAGTCAGACTGGCTGTCCTCCAGCTGGACTAGATCCTGTCAGCTAAGGACTACACAGCTGGAGCCTAAACCCGTTCCCGGAGTCTCTGGCCCCCAAAGCAGCTGCTGAGAGCCTGGGATCAGACACCACAACCTCACTCTCTGGAAACCAGAACAGGGAGGAGTCCAGAGCTGAGGTTGGGTATAAACAGAAAAATGACAAACTACAGCCTTACCCAGGACACTCAAATCAGGCTGGAGTTGGAGCCATGGCTTGGGGAGGCTGCCCACAATTACCACAGTTTGGGAGTTAGTTAGTTCCCACCCCTCCAAGACTTGACACGTAGTTAGTCTTCACTCCTAGGGAATTGGCTTAAAAGAGCAGTGTCACTCAAGCTGGGTCTGTTGGTTAAGCCCTGCACCTCTGTCCCATTCCCCTGAAGAAGAGATAACTGTGCTCTGTGGCAGCTGGCTTGGCTCATCAGCCCCCTCCAGGACCTCAGCATGGTTTGGGATTTATTATAACTTGTGAACAGAAGGAAGCTGCACTATTCTGCCTAGTCCTGATGCAGAGAGAGGAGAGAGAGGAAAGGACTGACCTGCGGTCACACAGCAAGGAGGGGACATGACCAGGGAATGTATTGACTATGCTCCTCAAAGTTGAAGTACCTTGTCTCAGGCCATGACATGATCGGGAAAGCTCACAGAAACAGAGCGAGATCCTGAAGTCCAGAGAGGGGTAGGACTTACCTGAGGTCATGTGGTGGAACATAGACTGTGACTGGCATGTAACTGTTCTGCCTCCAGTGCCTCCCATGACTACAGCACACCTATCCTCAATACCATAGTCCTGTCTAAGAGGTGTTGGGGCTCCAAGGATCAAGGATGCCTCAGGGGCTAGATCTGATCCTTCTGAGTCTGTGCCCTCTCCCCATTCTGTTCCCAGGTGTGCCACGGACCACAATGTAGACAACACTTCGGAGATGCTACAGGAGTGGCTGGCTGCTGTGCGCAATGACTATGCAGCTGTGGTGTGGAGACCCGAGGGGGAGCCCAGGTGCTGACATAAAGGGAAAGATTCAGGGCATGGGATGAAGCTGCAGTCCAGAAAGGAAAAGGGATAGCCTGGGGTCACACCCTTAGCCCAGGGTTCTGTCCATTACTCTGCAGAGAAGGAGAGATACCTACATTTTACAAACATCTTATTCCCTTAGGCCCTATCCGGATGAAGAAAGTCCCAAACACTGGACCAAAGAACGGTACCAGTTTCTGATGGAGTTGAAGCAGGAAGCTCTGACCTTTGCCAGGGACTGGGGAGCTGACTACATTCTGGTAAAGAAGCTTGACCAAGGGCTGGCTCCTTACTGGTGACGGCATCTGTCCCTGACAGAAGTCTTGCAGTGATTGAACCATTCCCGTAGGCTGGATTCTTCACTTGGTGACTTGAGCACAGATCAGTTATTGAGCCTGGATCCCTAGGCTGAGTTCCAACTAGGCACTTAACCTGGATTTCTGAAAGAGACCCTAGGATATATCACTCACTCATTCATTGCCGGGAGATGGAACTGATTATTAACTGACCCTCCAGTGGGTTTCTGAGGATGTAAATTGAATGGGAGGAGATTGCTCATTTTTTCTCTGGTGGGCAACTAATGGATTCCAATGGCCAGAGAGGAATGGCCTTTAGGTTAACAGAGTAACTTTCTATGTCCTATGTCACCAGAGCTTCTGGTTGGCTTATTGTTGTTATGTGCCACTGAATGGGAGGTAATTGCCCATCTTTCTCTCAAGGGGCAGCTTGGTGGATTCGAACTACCTTCCTTTGGGTTTGTAGCACAGCTTCTTACCCCTAAGCCACCAGAGACCCCTCCTAGGGTATGTGTTGTTGTTATATACTGTGGAGTCAGAGCCGACTCATAACTAACCTTCCAGAGGGTTTTCAGAAACAATAAATCTCACAGGAAGAGACTGTCCATCTTCCTCCCAGAGAGCAGCTGGTGAATTCAAACCACATGCCTTTGGGTTGGGAGTGCAGCTTATTACCACTAGGCCATTAAAACTCCCTTCTAGTTTATATGTTGTTGTTGTTGCTATGTGCTGTCGAGTCACTTGCGATTCATAGCAACCCTATGTACAACAGCCCTATACGCTGCTTTGTCCTGTGCCAATCGCACTGTCTCTGACACACCCATCCCGATTACCCCAGTCACTGAATCAGTCCACCCCACAGAGGGCCTTCCCTTCCTGTGCCGTCCCTCCACCCTCCCAAGTATGATGTCCTTCTCCAAGGACCGGTCCCTCCTTACAGCATGTTCAAAGTATGTTAGATGGAGCCTCAGAATCCTTGCCTCCAAGGAGCCACCCGGTTTAACCCTTTCCAGGATGAATCTGTTTGTTTTCCTAGCAGTCCATGGTACCCTCAATACTCTTCTCCAGCACCACAGCTCAAAGGCATCAATTCTCCTTCTGTCCTCCTTAGTCATTGTCCAACTCTCTGATACATAACAAGTGATTGCCTGTATCAGATGCATCTTTGTCTCTGGAGAGATACTGAATCTAAATTCCCGAGTATAAACTGAGCCTGATTCATGCACTGGAGCTTAGAGTAGGTTTTTCCATCCACTCCCTAAACCATAGCTCACTCAGATCAGGGTCTTAGAACCCAGTCCTTGACTCAACATCCTAGACTAGATCCCTGGGCCAAAAACACAATTATCAAATTTGTTGGTTCTCTAAGGGAGTTCTCATTCAATTCTGGGGATTATTCTGGGCTTCTGCCACCCTGGGAAGGGCACATTTCAATGGACTCCTTTGGGATCTGAAGCCCGGGCGGGGTGGGGCTGATGACATCCCACCTCACTCCCCCTCTCAGTTTGCAGACACAGACAACATCCTGACCAACAACCAGACACTGAAGCTGCTGGTGGAGCAGAGAATGCCTGTGGTAGCACCAATGCTGGATTCCCAGACCTACTACTCCAACTTCTGGTGTGGGATCACTCCTCAGGTGAGGCCGGGGATGAGGGCCTCAAAAAGCTGAGAGCCTGGGAGGAGGATGAAGTTGAGAGTCTGAAGGTATTAAAATCTGTGGGCCATGGCGGTAGGAGGAGTGGCTGGGAATAGAGGAAGGGGCGCTTCAAGACCCATAGCACCTCATTCCCTTGTCTCCAGGGCTACTACCGACGCACAGCCGAATACTTCCCCACCAAGAACCGCCAGCGCCGTGGCTGCTTCCACGTCCCCATGGTCCATTCCACTTTCCTGGTATCCCTGAGGGCTGAGGGGGCAGACCAACTTGCCTTTTACCCCCCTCACCCCAACTATACTTGGCCCTTTGATGACATCATCGTCTTCGCCTACTCTTGCCAGGCAGCTGGTGAGGATCAGCCCTCCCTGAGCAGCCCTTGAAGGCCTCTAGGTCTTTCCAAATCCTATTCCCTCCGCTTAGCACATCCTGTCCCACTCTTTCCTTCATTCCATTAACTCCTTTTTATCCTTGAAGGTTGTAGCTTTTCTTGAGGCCGTTGACTTCAGTAGGTCAGATGCCCCTTCTTTGGCTGTTCCCATCTTGGCACTTTAATTTGTTCCTTCATCAGGCACATATTTGTGGAGCATCTACCATGTGCCAGGCTCTGGGGAGATAGTGGTGAGTGAAATCAGGTAGGCCTCATCCTCCTGAAACCCCCAGTCCAATGTGAGGCCAACTCCACTCAAAGCACCACCCCAAATCAGTGTCCAGTCCACAACTGTGACAGGAAGAACAGCTTCTCGGTCCTTCGAGCTTTGGGAAGTTAGATTTGAATAGACTGGGCAGGAAGTATTCCTGGAAGAAGTGACTCTTGTGGCTGAGATCTGTTAGTAGGCTTTGACAAAGCAGAGTGAGCAGAAAGGAGCATTGTGAGCAGAGACTAGCAAATGCAAAGGCCATGTGAAATGTGGCTGGATCACAGTGAGGGAGCATGGTGTGGGCCAAGGCAGGAAAGGGAAGCAGGAGCCGGCCCGAGCGGCAGAGCATCTAGTCATTTGAGCTGTGGAAGGGTCACGTGATTAGGTGTACGTGTTGAAAAGATCAGTCAGATGTTAGTTATCTTTACGTGAAAGTGTTTAAATGTAGGCATGATAAATCCAGTCTTGAAGAATTGAAGTCATGAGGGGTGAGAGAGAGAAGAGAGGGAGGGAGTAAGAGGGGGTTAGAGAGAGACTAACATTGGTGTTCTGTTTGAGAAGGGTGACGAGAATGTAATTTGGGGTATGGATTGAGAGCTGGTCAAGGATGTGAGGACTATCTTGTGAGAAGAGGAGAAAATTGCTGGTGTTCAAGGATGAATTACTGTTTAATCGAGAAGTTGCACCTGAGTGCGTACAGCGTGGTCAGGGAGAGGATGATGTTGTATGTGGTTGCTTTGTGCACAAGAGTTTCTCTGCTGGCGAGTTCTACATTGTACAGACAAGCAAGAAGAAAAAAAGAAGTTTTTTCATGTGTAAAAAATGTCATTGACAATAGGAAAAAATTGAGAAAATTAGAAAAAGCAAAAATACACTCATATCTTTATACTGTATTGAGTAACTACTTCTATTTCTTGGTCCGTGACTTGAAGGCATTTTGTGTTAAGTATTTCTCCATCATCCATGCTTCCAACATCCAGGTATTAAGTTCCTGCTATGAGACAGGCACTTTGCCTAATGCTTGGCTTGGGGTTAGCTTTTCAGGACACAGTGTACCAGCCCCTGGAATTCACAATCTAGAGAAGACAAAGAGCAAATACATGGGTGTAAAAACATTGGCAATCATGAGGAAAAGGCTCTTGTGGTTGCCAGCTGGAAAATAGCATGGAGAAGCCATGAGAGAACGTGGAATGTCAGGACCTAGGAAGAGGTGATGGTGCATTGGGTCAGGGCAGGGACAGTGGCAATGGGCAGGGATGGGAAGATTTAGGTGACACACAACAGGACGTAGGAGCATCATGTAGCTGTGGTTGGTGGGGCTTTGTTCCTTCTTCACGGTAGCCCCCTGCAGGCAGGTACTCCATCTGTCTTACTTACCTGGCCCATCACAAATGCCCTTGACATGTTTGTTTAGTGAAGAAACCCTCTCCATAGAAAGACTCTTTAAATTATCATTGATTCAAATCCTTTATCCTTCCAGTCACAGGACTCACACATTGGGTCGCTGGTAGAGTTGGGTGGGCCTAGCACCTCTCAGTTGAGTTCAAATGCCCTTCCTTCCCCCAACCCACCCCTGTTCCAGCTGATATTTGGCCTCTCTCCTCAGGGGTCTCGGTCCACATTTGTAACCAGCACCGTTATGGATACATGAATGTGCCTGTGAAGCCCTACCACGGGCTGGAGGACGAGAGGGTCAACTTTATCCATCTCATCTTGGAAGCACTTGGTGAGAGCTGGGAGCTCCTGCCACCTACCTTCCACCATCACTCTCTGCCAGTACCCCCCATAGGCACTGATGTAAGGGAGCAATAATTTAGGGTTCCAATATTGCCCTTAACTTGTCCTGTGACTTTGGACAAGTACTTAACTCAACTCTGGGCCTCAGTTTCCATGTCCTATAGTGCCAGTGGTTGGATTCTGTAATTTCAGAGAGCCCTTCCAGCTGGGCATGCTGCCGGAAGGTCAAGAATGAGGTGATGGATGGGGAAGCACTAGGACTTGCCAGGGAAAAGCCAGGAAGGACTTGTAATGGGAGCTGTGTGCTTCCTTCTGCAGTGGATGGGCCCCCCATGCAGGCCTCAGCTCACGTGTCCCAGCCCCCAAAGAGACCTAGCAAGATGGGATTTGATGAGGTAAGTCCCCCAACCTGCAGATTAGGGTCAGGAGATGTGTAGACTCCCAGAACTGTATCCACTCTGTCCTCTCATCCTCACCCCAGGTCTTCATCATCAGCCTGGCCCGCCGGCCTGACCGCCGTGAGCGCATGCTGAACTCGCTGTGGGAGATGGAGATCTCTGGGCGGGTGGTAGATGCTGTGGATGGCCGGTGAGGCTCGCTGTGGAGGGACTGGGCATCTGGGTGTGATGTGGTTTGTCCCTGAGCTCACTGGAAGGAGGGAAAGCGGACAGATTAGGGAGCTTGCTGTTCTGGGAGATACCCAGTCAGGCATTCCTGATGTTTGTCCTGGGAAGCTCGAGGGAGGATAGGTACAGGACAGGATGGCCCTCTGGCAAGAGGAGAGAGGGCTGAGCTTCAGCTTTGCCACCTCCAGCTGTTTGACCTCTAGCAGGTTAACCTACTCCATACATCTCTAAGCCCTATTTTCTCCTGTGTAAAATGGCAAATATTTGTGACTTCTTAGGTTTTATAAAGGTTGAATAATGATTTATCCAGGACTCCACACATAGAAATTCCTGTCAGAGTTTAGACCCCTAATGGGTGGGGACGAGGCAGACCAGTTTCTCCCCAAGGAAACCTAGAGACAAGACGTCTTCAGCACCAGGGTCACACATAGTTCCATGTACTCACTGCTGTTTGTTCCAGGCTATGAGCCTTTTTGATCTCCAGATGTCTATCTTTGCTTGGCTTCTTGCCCAAAAAGTATTGACTCTGTACTCCACATCCTTCCTGGAGTATTCCCCTAAGCCACATACTGTGCTGTTTCCCACTCACCCAGATGCCCTGAAAGGATCACCCATTGTCCCTGTTACTGGTCTTCAAGGTGGCTGTGGTCCCTCAGATCCAGCCACTGACAGCAGTAGGCCATATCAAGGAGTTCCAAGGTGGAACCTCTCGAACCACGCTCTGATGTGACTTTGACCACATCAGGCCTCTCTGGGGAGGCTCTCTGGGGCACTTCCTGCTCAAGCACCCTGTTCCATGATCTTCCTCAGGACTCTAAACAGCACTGTCATCAGGAGACTTGGTGTGGACTTGCTTCCTGGCTACCAGGACCCTTACTCTGGCCGCACACTGACCAAGGGTGAGGTGGGCTGCTTCCTGAGCCACTACTCCATATGGGAGGAGGTGAGGATCCCTGCCCCCTCGGCCATGCTCTTCAGAGAGAGAAAGGTCCTGGGTGTTCTAGTCACTGCTCTGTGCCCAGAAGTAGGTGAATGAAGAAGTGTGTTATGAAGCTTATGAGCCCCCAGCAAGGGGCTTTACACCTCCTGTGTGCCCAGCACCAGACTGTGCTCCCCTGAGGGGCGCCTGTATTTATCTTATTAATTTCCTGGAGCTGCTGTAATAAATCTCCACAAACTAGAAAACTCCTAAGAACAGAAATGTGTTGAGTTACAGTTCTGGAGGCTAAACATCTAACTCAGCATTTTGGCTGGATCATGGTCCCTCCACAGTACCTTGTTTCATCCACCTTCAAGTAGTCCCAGGTGCTCCTTGGCTAATAGATTCACCTTCAGATGCCCATCCTTTCTTTCTCTGTTTCTCTACTATCTTATCTTTCCTCTTTAAAAAAATTTGTTTTATTTTTGCTGCTGAGAATATGCAAGCCAGAACATACACCAACTCAGCAATTTCTCCATGTATAGTTCAGTACCACTGGTTCCATTCTTCAAGTTGAGGGACACTGTTATTTACTGTTTCTATGGAGCACCTACTGTGTTCCTCTCTGGGGAAATGCTGTCCTCACCTTCCTGGGGTGCATGGCCCAGAGTCAGGCACAGAACTCCAGAAAGAACCAAGGGCATGGCCTGACATGGACTCCTGGCCTGTTAGGGGTCAGGATGCAGCGAGAAGAAACTTCTTGGCAGAGCACAGCTAGGGGCAAAGGCCCTAAGCGAGGAGGTCAGAGTGTCTGGGAGTAGGATGAAGGAAGGCCTAGGGGTTGGCACATGTTTAACACTTGGCCAGGAAGCCTCAGCCTGGTGACACTGTGGGGGCTCTTGCAGAGGCTCTCTTTCTAGGAGACAATGCAGACTCCTTTATTTTTTCAAAATTGTAGCCAAAATATAGGGAGTTCTGGTAACGTAGTGGATAAGGACTTACACTGCCAATCCAAAGGCGTGTAGTTCAGATTTTTCCAGGAGAAAGATGGGTAGTCTCCCATGAGATTTACTGCCTTCAAAAACCCGCCAGAGGATCAACTATGGCTCGGTTCTGACTCAACAGCACAGAACTAGATAAAATAAATACGTATGTGTATGTATGTGTATTCATGTTTATTCTGGAGTTTTTTATGTTGTTTACTGTTCTTAAACAAATTGAAAGAGGCTTCGATTTCAAACATTTTCTGAGCTGATTTCAGGTTCAATATTTTAAAAAGTTACAAAGTAGATCTTTCCTTTGGGATGTTGGGGGGTGAGTGTCTCCCCTAGTTCCCACCCTGCTTAGCTTCCTTATTGTTGTGTACCGTCAAGTTGGATCCAACTCATAGCTGACATTCCGGCGAGTTTTCAGAGGCAGTTAATTGCACAGGAGTAGATTGTTCCTCTTTCTTCCACGGAGCAGCTGGTGCATTTGAACCATGTGCCTTAGGGATTGCATCACAGCTTTTTGCCAGTAGGCCACCAGAGCTCCTTTATTAGAGCTCAGGAAACTGAGGTGAAGAGCTAGGTCCAGGCATCCGATAGAAACAGGTTCAAATCATGGTTCTGCCACTTTATCACTGTGTGGCCTTGCATGGGCAGCTTTTCCGCTCTGGTTCTCCATCTCCTTGTCTGCAAGAGGGGGATCATCATGTTTCCTGCCTCAAGTGTCCCTTGAAAAAAGCAGTAGCACTGAGGTCCCTGGGATATTGTTAGTGCTCCGTGAATGGTAGCAAGGGTTGTGCTTGCCATCATGATTCTGATTGGACTCCTGGAATGGGGTATGTAGGGCTTTGAATGCCAGAGAGAGCCTCTGGGGTTTTAGTTTCTAGCAAATGGGAGCTACAGCAGGCTTCACATCAGCTGAATAGTGTGGCTGGGTGGTGTCTCTGGTATATAACTGAAACCAATGAAGGCCTATTAGCTTCAGCCTTGTGGGAAGGGAACAGCCCAGATTTCAATAGCTATCTCCCTGCTCTGCCATGTGCTACAGGTGGTTGCCAGGGGCTTGGCCCAAGTTGTGGTGTTTGAGGATGACGTGCGATTTCAGAGCAACTTCAAGAGGCGGCTAGAACAGCTGATGGAAGAGGTGGAGGCGGAGAAACTTGCCTGGGACCTGATGTAGGTGGCCTGTGCTTGAGGGGCAGTGGAGAGGGATGGGTTTCTTGGGGTCAGCCTCATGTTTGGTAACCCTGTCTCCCCTCCTCAGCCCAATTCTGTGAGAGTGGAACTGGGGGAGCAGCCCTGAGATGCCTCCTAAACCTCTTGCATTTTCTGCAGCTACCTTGGTCGTAAGCAGGTGAACCCCGAGGAGGAGGCAGTGGTGGATGGGCTGCCCCACCTGGTGGTGGCTGGGTACTCCTATTGGACGTTGGCTTACACCCTGAGCCTGGCAGGAGCCCGGAAGCTACTGGCCTCCCAGCCCCTGCACCGGATGCTGCCTGTGGATGAGTTCCTGCCAATAATGTTTGACCAGCACCCCAAGTGAGACTTAGTCAGGGGGAGGCAGGTCAGGGGGAGTGTCAGGTCATCCCCTTCTACTAGAAAGCAGCGAATCCACACCCCTTGCTTGACACTTGGAGACCAAGTCACTGAGAAATAGCCCAACCTAACCCGAGAGTCAGATGACCTAGGTATGAAACCTACACTGTGTTCTGAACCTCTGTTTCCCCACCTGGAAATGGGGATAATAGAAATCCCACCTCTCAGGGCTGTGTGGTGGATTATCTGGGGTGTTAGAGAGTTATGGAGCCTGGCTCTGGTAGGAATGTGGTATGGGATGAAGCCCTCCATCAGTCCCTTTGAGCCATCCTCCCTTCTCACAGCGAACGGTACAAAGCACACTTTTGGCCACGGGACCTGCGGGCCTTCTCGGCCCGGCCCCTGCTTGCTGCTCCCACCCACTATGCCGGGGATGAAGAGTGGCTCAGTGACACAGAGACATCTTCCCTCTGGGACGACGACAGTGGGCGCATCCTCAGCTGGAGTGGCTCTCACAAGACCCTGCGTGACCCCCGCCTGGACCTGACCGGTAACAGCGGGCACAGCTTCCATCCCCATCCCCGGGATGAGCTCTAGGTGCGGACAGGCCCAGGTCCCTACCATGTGGGACGTGGTTTTCTTTCTCTTTTGTGGTGTCACTGTCCTGGTCACTGCTTTCGCCTAAGCCTCACTCCTCTTGCTCTGACTTTCTGGCTCTGCCTATCTCTGTCTCTGGCTGTCTCTGCCTTGTTCTACCTTTAGCTTTTTCTGTCTTTGCCTGGCACATTGTCTGACTCCAGATTGTTCTCTCTTCTTACCTCTCCAGCCCCACCAGATCCAGCTGGTGTTCACTAAAGGTTCACCTGGAAGTAGACCAGCAGCTTTCCCAGGGAAGAGAGGAAGAGGTCACTGGGAGGCGTTGCATTCTGGAACCACTGACCTGGTAGAGACGTGGAACCATCACAGACTTAGTCACTCTGTCCTCTAGACCCTTCTCAAGTTTCATAGAGGGAGAAACCACTCTGAGAAGGAGGTCACAGAGCTAAAGGGCTGGACTCAAAGGCCTCCTCACCCTTCCTGCCCAATTCAGGGATTGGGGTAAGGAGGAGGTGGGAGGCTCCTCAGCTTTCTTTCCAGCTGAGCAGACCCCAGGAATCCTGCCCTCCCAGAGGACTCAGTCATTAGGGCTATTATGCCCCTTCTACCTCCACCTCAGCTCCCTGTCCACTTTGACGTGGGTCCCTCCTGCCTGAGCCCCCCCTCTCCCCTGACTAGAGGGAAGGACAGAGGTTGGAGGTGGGTTCTCACAGACCTGGTGCTCGGCACAGAGCAGACCCTCAATAAACAACAACTGGTATTTGCACTTTATACTTTTTAAACTCCTGGTTGAGCCTCTTTGCATTTTGCCTGGCCTGGGAGAGGTGGATGAGCATGGGAAGGGCAGAGAGAAGGGTAGCATTGGAAGGAGTTGGGCCAAGCTGGGCTTCACTCCTGGCATTGCCTCCTGTACAAAACAAACTGGTCCAGTGAGTGCCCAGTGTTTTTGTACTCATCACAATGCCATTGCTGGCCCACCTTGGTTATCAGTGGTCAGGGGTGCTCTGGCAGGCTATCAATTACTAGGCTGAACAGGGTGGGCTCATACCAGAAACAGGGATCTTGGTATTTCCCCTCTTTGGAGCATCACTTGTCCATCTGGAGTCAGTTTATGCTCTGGGCCATCAAGTGATCCCTCCTCTGGGAGGGTCTGATAGCGCACCGGATCTTCCAGCCAGTTCCACCTAGTATGGCCACCAGAGGGCGCAAAGTGACAGCGTTTGAATTTTGTAGGCCTCCTTTCCCTCTGCTGGGCATGGAGCTGATGACAGGAAAGGCATCATGGGGTGCTTGGAATTAACTTGGTGCTGAGGGGGTTCCCCACAGCAGCTCCAGGTTCTCCTGCTGGGAACTCTTAGATCTCTGACATGGCAGAATTTGTGGTTCAGCAACTGTCTCCAAAAGTCTGTACTCAGTCCATCAATTGCTCCTTGACCATGGCACCCGCATTTCCAAGTTCTTGTCTTTAGAAGACCCTATCTTTTTATTTTATTTCATTTCATTTCATTTCATTATTTTATTTATTATTTTTTTGTGTGTATACTGTCAAATCGGATCCGACATGTACAGGAGGGGATTGTCCCTCCTTCTCCAGCAGAGCATCTGGTGGATTTGAACCGCGAACTTCTTGGATTGTAAGTGCAGCTTCCTGCCACTAGGCCACCAGAGCTCCCTAGAAGACCGTATCTTTAAGGGATGGTCGCTTAGTGGGTAAGGAGTTGCACTGCCAATTCAAGGGCACATTGTTCAAGTTCACCAGCTGCTCTGCGGGAGAAAGATGGGAAATCTCTTCCTTATAGAAATAAATGGTCAAATACCATTTCATCAGCCCCATCGATCAACTAAGACTAAAATCTGGAGGCTCCATTCTTACCTCTTTTCTGTGGCAGCCCCTCTACTGGTCCCCAGAGCACCCTTGACCTTCCCTAGGTTTGGTCCTGGGTTTGGTCTATCTGGTAGGTTTGGGCATTGCTGGGGGAACATTTTCCAGGCTGAAGCTGTGGGATTGGTGCTTTGTTTTAAAAATGAAAGTAGCTTCTTCTCTCGGATCCTCGCTTCCAACATGATGAAGAAAGGGAGAAACAACAGTCGTGCCAAAAAGGGCCGCGGCCACGTGCAGCCTATTCGCTGCACGAACTGCGCCCGGTGCGTGCCCAAAGACAAGGCAATTAAGAAGTTCGTAATCGAAATATAGTAGAGGCAGCTGCTGTCAGGGACATTTCTGAAGCGAGTGTTTTCGACGCCTATGTGCTTCCAAAGCTCTATGTGAAACAGCACTACTGTGTGAGTTGTGCCATTCACAGCAAGGTCGTGAGGAACCGTTCTCGTGAAGCCCGAAAGGACCGGACACCTCCACCTAGATTTAGACCTGCAGGTGCTGCCCCACGACCACCACCAAAGCCTATGTAAGGATTTGATTCCTTAAAAGGCTGAAGAAAAAACTCGTCTGAAAATAAAATGGAAATTACACTTTGAAAAAAAAAATGAAAGTAATCAAGGTGGTTTAGTGGCAAGAAGCTGCACTGCAATCCTGAAGGCACACAGTTTAAATCCACCAGATACTCCGCTGGGGAAGGATGGACAATTTCTTCCTGTGCCAGTAGGATCTAACTTGACAGTGCACAAGAAAAAAAAAAGTCATTGATTTAGATGGCTATGACCTTAAACAAGTCACTCCCCATCTCAAGGTTTCTGGTGCTCCCTTCATTCAATTAATATTTATTGAGTACCTCTGCTGGGCCAGCTTTAGGCTCTGAGGATATAGCAGTGAATAAAATTGACAAAAAGTCCCTGACCTTGTGGAGCTGGCATTTTAGTGAAGGAGACAGACAAGCACAAGTAAGTAAGCATTCAATAAACTCATATCATTGAGATCAAGTCAACCGACCCACAGCTGACCCTACAGTGGGTTTTCAGAGGCTGTAGTTCACACAGGAAGAGACTGCCCATCTTTCTTCTCCATTTAACTGTTGAGATTAAAACCTTGTGCCTTTGGAATGTCAGTGCAGCCCACTAGGCCACCAGAGCTCCCCCAGTAAACATTCCCAGGTGTCTCTGAGTTGATTCTGATTTAAGGTGACCCTGCTTTGTGATGCAGAGTGGAACTTAAATGAAATGGGAAAGAATATAGGTGGGCAGGTCAGGAGCTCAGCTCTGGATGTAGTAAATTTGAGACCCAGGTGAGAGTGTAAAATCATAATTGCATATTGGAGTGTAGAATTTAGAGGCTGGATCTGAGGTGGAGATAAAAGCTTGGAATCCTTATCCTGACCCAGAAACCAGAAGTTCTGACCCAGAACCACACTACCACAACTCTATAAGGGAGCTTGTTAGTAGGAAGTCCAGGCAGGTTTGCAAAGTTCACGATGTCTGTATGTACTCCCTTCATCAGAGACTCAAACAGTTGGAGGAAATTAAGTTTATCGCTTTAAATGGCAATACAGAAAAAAAAAGAAATTAACTATTGAGATCAGCTCTATTGAGGTACAAGGAGTCCTGGTGGGCTGGTGATTGTGTATCCTTAAGCCAGACTGACTCAAAGCTGACCTTCCTGCGGGTTTTCAGAGGCAGTTAATCACATAGGAGAAGACTGTCCATTTTTCTCCCTCAGAGCAGCTGGGGATTTGAATAGCTTTCAGGATTGCAGCATAGCTTCTTGCCATTAAGCCACCAGAGGTCCCTCCTCGTGGGGTGGTGGTGATGGTTATGTACTTTCAAGTCAGAACCAACTCATAGCAGACCCTCCAGTGGGTTTTCAGAAAAAAATATATCACATAGGAGATTGTCCATGCTTTTCCCATGGAGCAGCTGGTGGATTTGAACCATGTGCCTTTGGGATTGCAGTGCAGTTTTTTACCACTAGGCCACCAGAGCTCACCTTCAGGTTTGATAGTGGATTATATATTGGGCTGCTCTGGTGTTAGAGAAGAATATTGAATATACCATGGACTGTTAGGAGAACCAATAGGTTTTGGATGGGAGAAACCAAGCTGCTCCTTGGAGGCAAGGGAAGGACCAGTCCTTGGAGGAGACATCATGCTTGGGAAGGTAGAAGGACAGCACAAGAGAGGAAGACCCTTGTTGAGATGGATTGACTCAGTGACTGGAGTAATGGAAATAGGTATGTTAGAGATGATAAGGATGGCTCAGGATAGCGCAGGGTTTAGAGCTGTTGTATAGGGTCGCTATGAGTCATAAGCAACTCGATGGTACATAACATCAAAAGGTCAGCAGGTGCAAATCCACCAGCCACAGCTCCACAGAGGAAAGAACAAGTAGATTGCATCCATTAAGATTTACGAAACTTAGAAAAGATTTATGAAACTTTCATGTTTTATCTTTAGATGCATGTTGGTCTGTTGTTTTGGTTTGGATTTTTTTTTAAAAAAACACACAATTCAATTCATGACACAAGCACAGGCAAAGAGACTAGGATTTAAAATACATTTCAAAGATGGAGGACTGTCTACAATCAGGAGAAGATAAAATAGATGAATGGGACCTTCTAAGAATAAAATCCCTATGCACATCCAAAAACTTCTCCAACAGGGTAAAAAGGGAAGCCACAGACTGGGAAAAAGTATTTGGTAATGACATGCCATTTAAGAGACTTATATCTAGAATTTATAAAATACTTGAGTACCACAAGAAGATAAAGGTAAATAATCCAATTGAAAAATGGGCATAGCACATGAACAGACACTGCACCAAAGAAGACATTCAGATGGCTAACAAGCACATGAAGTGTTCAAAATCCCTAACTCTAAGAGAGATGCAAATCAAAACAACTATGAGATATCATCTCACCCCAGTCAGAATAGCAAAATTTAACAGAACAGCAAGCAACAAATGCTGGCGGGGTTGTGGAGAGACTGGAAAATGGTGCAACCACTGTGGAAAGTGTGGCGCTTTCTCAAAAAGTTGCAAATAGAGATACCATTTGAGCCAGCAATTCAAATACTGGGAATATACCCGAAAGAGACCATAACTGACATCCAAGCAG